ATTGCAATATTGTTGTTGTTACTACTGATATGATTTGCATGAATATCGTCGCTAACGTTATCATTATTCTGATCATGATCATCAACATCATAGTATCCCTAATAAAGATTATAATCATTAAAAACTGTAAAGTAAGTACGTCAACATCGTTTCTTCCTTGCTTTGTTTCTTTGTTTGCCTGACTCCCCCCCTCTCGCTCCTCTCCCTCCCTCTCCCTCTCCCTCTCCTCTCTCCCCTCCCTCTCCCTCTCCCTCTCTCCCTCTCCCCCCTCCCTCCCTCTCCCTCCCTCCCCTCCCTCCCTCCCCTCCCCTCCCTCCCTCTCCCTCCCTCCCTCCCTCCCACTCTCTCCCTCCCTCCCTCCCACTCTCTCCCTCCCTCCCTCCCTCTCCCCTCCCTCCCTCCCTCCCACTCTCTCCCTGCCTCTCCCTCCTCCATACCCTCTCTCCCTGCCTCTTCCTCCACCTCTCCCTCCCTCCCTTTCCCTCCCTTACCCTCCCTCTCCATCTCCCTCCCTCTCCCTCTCACCCTCCCTCCCTCCCTCTCGCCTCTCCCTCCCTCCCTACCACTCTCTCCCTGCTCTCCCTCCACTCTCTCCCTGCCTCTGCCTCCCTTTCCCTCCCTCACCCTCCCTCTCCATCTCCCTCCCTCTCCCTCTCCCTCTTCCCTTCCATCGATCTAATAAAGCCCTCATACCCAGCACTAGCAAGGTTTTGTTGATCAGTCTCGTGCACATGATTTCTCTCGCCCCACCGATACCTACCCAAGCCAGTCCCACCCGCGCCCACACCTTCACCTTTCTCTCCCATTTTCCACAAACTAACGCAGGTGATTAAGCACAAAGTCAGGAGAACCTCGCCATCAAACAGAGATTACTAGGCTAGCCGTTAACTTTTAAACGTCTATAAAGCCTCTAGTCCGAGAGCTCGCCCACATACGTCAGAGTTCAGGTTCTCCGACGCCCACGATCGAGTGCGTGACGATATACGTGGTCCATCTGGTCCTTGCTAGCATCGTGTTTTGATATGTTATGTTTTCTTTTCGTGAAATGTACGAGTTCCTTTTCGCGTAGCATGATCGTAAAGAAAATGGAGAATCGTTACAAGAATGACAGAGAGAGTCCGCTTGTCGTGCTCAGTGTCCAGCCTCATGACAAGTTCGTGAAATTATTCAATAGGTGGAACTAGACACCCTGCTTAGTGGGTCAAGTATGTGCATGTAGGAGTGTTTTTGTGTGTGCGCTGGTGTTTGTTTGCTTGTGGGAGTGAGTTGGTGCTTGTGAGTGGTAGAGGCACGGATACTCTTACTTTTGCAACTGTGTCTGTCTTCATGCAAATGCCAGAATGGGCGTATGCGCGCACCAAACCATCTGGCTGTCCCCAATTCGCAAGGAGAATCTTATCGAATATACTGTATACGTTATGTCTGCTCTTGCTCAGCTCACTTCTTATCGCCCTTGCCCGTTTGTTCTGTTTTGCCAGCCTTTCTAAAACACGTGCTTCACACTTTCTCTTCAAAATTTCCCTTCACACACACACCGGTCACCCTCCTCGCACATTTCTTTCCTTGCAAGTCAGCCCCAAACAGACCTCCGCTGAAGACTTTACTTCTATATGAACAATTTCAGTCTCCCCGCAAACGCGTCCTCGCCGACTCGGCCAGTCCAACTTCCCGAGGATCCATGACCGAGGTGGAGAAACTATAATGATGTGTGTGCACCACATCAGGTTTAGGAATCCCATCCCCTTCGACATGAACCTCCACCCACCCACCTACCCATCCCCTCACCTACCTAACCACCCCACCTACCCGTCCATATACCTACCTACCTATCCACCCATCTATTTATCGACCCATCTAACCAAACACCCATCTACCCACCCACCCACCTATCCATCCCTTCACCTACCTAACCACCCCACCTACCCGTCCATGTACCTACCTACCTATCCACCCATCTGTTTATCGACCCACTTCACCAAATACCCACCTACCTACCCACACACCTACCAAGTCAATCACTCACCAACCCACCCACCCATCCACCCACCTTCATCCACCCCCTCAACACCAGATGAAAGATATATTTGGTCATTTCCAGAGCGAAGATGAGTCACAAGCCTGAGGAATTCCCAAGTAGAAAAGAAATAAAAGAATAAACAAAATAATAAAAAAAACTAATGTATAGGTTTCCTTTCTGTGACTAGGAATTCCCTTTCATGCACGTACAAAGGATATCTTACTAAGACTTATTTTAGCCGCACCGACAGAAGTGCTAGATGCAGCGTCTATATATTGTGCATGCGAATAGTGCGGGAATCGAATCGTCAGCGCGACTACGATTATGGTAATGAGTCCCGTAGCTGTAATTATATATGGGAAAGAGAACAATAACAAGCAATATGATATGATCATATCGACAGTTACAACAACGATGATGGCGATGGTTAGATTATTATTAGATTATTATGAGGATGATGATAGTGATAATGATGATGATGATGGTGATGATTATGTTGCTGCTGTTGATGAGGATGGTGATGATTATGGCGATGATGATGATTATGCTGCTGCTGATGATGATGATGGTGATGATGATAATGCTGCTGCTTCTGCTGCTGTTGCTGCTGCCGCTGCTGCTGTTGCTGTTGCTGCTGCTGCTGCTGCTGATGATGATGATGATGATGATGATGATTATGATGGTTGTGATGGTAGTAATGATGTGGTGATGGTGGTGGTGGTATTATTAACAACAGTAATAGTAATGATGATGCTAATGGTGATGGCACTGGCGTTGCTGTTGTTGGTGGTGGGGGGATGGATAGGATGATGATAAATATAAACACTAACAGCAATAACATATGTTCTTTAAAACAAACAAATAATATATATATGTATATACATACATACACACCCATTCTCACTTCTACAACGCGACCTAAAGCTCCACTCACTCCGAGTCTCAGCCTCACTTCGTCTTCAAGAGAAACATCTTTCTTTTTAGTCAGAAGCAATAGAGAACCAAAAGGCACAACTATCAACGCGAATAACTTCCAATCAAAGCGATTGGCTCAGCGAACAAAGACTTCATCACTCGAGCAGAAGATCAACGCGCTGAATGGCGAAGGCGACCTCTGATTGGCTGTCTCGGCGCGGGTGAGACGGAGCTCGTGATTGGCGCTTATTGATAATTGTCGAGTCGTTACTGCTATATTCATTAACCGCAATGATATCATAATCAGTCTAATCATTTCAGATGTCATTATTTCGTGACTGATGCGATAATTCTCGGTATTATGATAATTTTTAATGCCAGACCTTGTACCATCAATATATTTGTATTTTACTTTATCATTCCCATAATCAAACTCCATTTAGCAAAATTATAGCTATTACCGTCAGAAATGTGAGCGAAGGACAGGACGGAAGAGAAGGAGAAAGCGAACGAGATGGATAGGGAGAAAAGGGCAAGAAGAGAAGAAAGAAGGCAGAAGCCGATCAGGAGAGGAGAGTGGTGTGGGGAGACAAGGTCTGGGAGAGTGAAGGAGCTTTGGTGTTAAAACAGACAAAGGGAGGCAGGGGAAGAGCTAAAGTAGGGAGACAAGGAGGAACTGGGGAAGAAGAAGGCATATTCGCGTGAAAAATAGAAAAGAAAAATGCAAAACGACAATAAAACACACACACACACGTGTGTGTGTGTGTGTGTGTGTGTGTGTGTGTGTGTGTGTGTGTGTGTGTGTGTGTGTGTGTGTGTGTGTGTGTGTGTGTGTGTGTGTATTATATATATATATATATATATATATATATATATATATATATATATAATATATACATACATATATATATATATATACATATATATACATATATATACATATATATATATATATATATATATATATATATATATATATATATATATATATATATATATATATATATATATATATATAGAGAGAGAGAGAGAGAGAGAGAGAGAGAGAGAGAGAGAGAGAGAGAGAGAGAGAGAGAGAGAGAAATGAAAGTAGACGGCAAGGAAAAGTAAAGAACCAATATAAATACTTAAGGAGAAATACTAAAGAAGTAAGAAGAGCGATGTACCCACATATACTCAGGACACACTCACTTACACAAACAAAGCCCTGGTATGGAAACGAACTTTGATAAGCCGAGAGAAATCAGTGAAGCTTGGAGTACAATGCAAATGTTTGGTTCTAGAGACATCAGTTACAGGTGTATCCATCATTAGAACATCTCCGCCTCGCCTTATATGTACACGTCAATCAAGGTTCTGAGCTAGAGCGGGTGTTCAGGCACGCAGTTTATCATCCACTATTCATGTAGAGTTCCAGGCAGAGTTAGTGAGTCAGAGAATCCGAGTTCCCTGGTTCGAGCTGGCCGACGGGAGCGGAGCCAGCGAGAGCACGCGGACAACGGTCCCAGCTTTTGCATCGTATCGTGCCTCGTGTGTTGATACATACTATGAGATCATTGTTTTTTCTTCGCCAAGCAGAAGGGAGATGCTGTTGGTACTGTGTGCTGGCATTTCTGTTGTCATAATTGTTGATGGCGGTAGGACTAATTACCTGGTAGATATATTTTCCAAGAAGTGAGAATAAAAAGCTAACTAGTTTCTTTAACGGCTAACCTAATGTTCATATTTTGTTGAGTGCCAGGGTAGATCGACAGATCGTATAGAACGTATCGTATGCTCGTGTATGTCGTATTACAGAAGTGAGTGAAGAACTTAGTAGGCCTATAACGGTAGGACCATGATTGCTCACTAAATATATACATTTGAATTACTAAAACAAACAAACAAAAATACATATACAGTTCCTATTAGTCAACAGAGAATATGGTATATAAGATATATATATAATAATGTCACATTTGATTATTTGTAAACAGATCGTCACATTTGCATCTTCAATAGGTACCCACATGGCGATGGGACGTGGCTGTACCAGTGAAACATGATGTACGGTTTCAATCCATCTTACCTGGCTATAGGTTCGGGGTCGAGGATATACCACTTGTCGATGGGGTCGGGGTTGAGGAGCCTGGCCAGCGCCGCCTCCGTCAGAGCCACGACGCCCGTGTCGGGGTCGGCGCTCCACTGCCCCGCCGGGAGGCCCTGGAACCTCCCGTGACTCCCTGGTGAACCTTCGGGCATCATGGTCGCGCAAGCACTAATTTGGAGGTTTTGTATCTCACTCTTTCTTTCTCAATTCTCACTAGAGTTGCTGGTCCCGCACTCTCCTTTTTCAACACAAGCTTGCAACGTAATCCCTTGTGACGACTCTCGTGTTGACAGGGCGACCATTCGTAATTCAGGTAGTTACATGTACGTTTATGAGACCCATGATGAGGGTTAACCTGCGAACGCATCTATTAGAAACACCACGAGTGCAGAACCATTCTTTTTGTCACGTTAACTAGGCATCCTTCGAGCCGCGGAAATTAATATGTTTTCCCGAAACGCTAAAACACGAGCGATCAAAACGATTCTAAAGATTCTATTGAGAATATGAAGCCGCAGAAAAGCAACAATACGCAACACGCTCAGCTTGTTCGCACGTGTTGCTGAGGTGCTGCGTCCGTGTGTACGTGTGCGTGTTTGTGTGTGTATACCGCTGGGACAGTGAGCGTGCTGAACTCCTCCCTGCCCGTCACCACACCAGGCTAACACTGCAGGATCAGCTTCGCGCCACCTTGCCCGCGCCTCTCCGCGCCCGCCCCCACACCTGAGCAGGGTTGCCCGCTCGTGCCAGACCAGCGCCGCCCGGACACTCCCTTGCGCGGCCGGGAGGTGCAAAGCAGGATGGAAATCTCAACTCTAAAGATGATGGATGAAAAGATCCCTCTGTCATTTACATACTCTTTCATTATTTGCTTTATTATTGCGGTGACTGATATGATCGAGTGTACTTAACTGCTCACGCAAACTGGGAAGGAATGGGATTTTATCTTATATATTTGTTATTCAGTGTTTCAGATTATTTTTTGTAATTGTTTGTCAAGGAAGAGGAAGGGTTTTTTTTAAAGGAAAACATAATGCTGAATGAATTAAACTATGAGTGATGACTAAAGACAATCAAACTCAATCTGTAGATATTGCAGCTAGAGTAAAGACAACTTAATTCTGGCTGAGTTTTAGTAGGCATGAGGACAGCCAACAATATGTTTTATGAGGTGCCTAACGGATCACAACTCCACATTCATTTTAGGAAGAAACTTACATTTATCAAAAATATCAAGGACAGCCATATACCCATGACGAAACTGATTATCTTCATAAATTATTTTCTCTAGAATACCATTATGCGAATAGCTGATTTTATTCCGCAATAAACTGGTACTTCAATGGAATAACTTGATCCGTAATACGCTGGTACTTCAAAAGCAATGATTATAATGTCTACATCTTGAGGTAAAACTCAAGAAGTCGTAAATTCAAAATATACCCTATGAAGGAGAAGCATGGCATTAACATCTTTCACGGATGAACCTAAGTTTATAGGACAGACAGACAGTAATGCATATGAGAAGTGGAATAAATAATGAATGGAGGAAAAAAAAGGGAATGAAAACAGAGTATTAAAATGGGTATTAAATATATCTCCACTGGAAATAACGATACCCAAACGATGATAACGGTACATGACTAGAACACACTAAAACCCTAACACGCTTTGTAAGGGCTTTAGTCAAGGAAACGTATAACTATTAGCCTGCGTGACGTGAATGGCTTGTTTCATGATTCCTCTATAGCTAAGGTCATGGGCAACAGAGACTCTGGTCCTTGAGAATCCGCTGATTTTAAGCTGACACGAAACTATGTTTTTATTCTATTTCACCATTATCATTGTTGTTGTTATCAGTGTTATCATGATCAATATTTTCATGTTTTTCTTGGGTTTGTGTGATATCAAACGATTATTATTTTGATATATTTTCTCAATTATTTAATGGATTGTTATTATTATTGATATTGTTATATTTATTGTTATTATCATTATCATTAGTCATGATCATTATCATTATTATTATCATTATTGTTGTCATCATTATCATGACCATGATCACCATCATCTTAATCAACGTTGTTTCTTCCTTTAACAGGATAGGGCTAGAGGAGAAAATGTAAAGGTGTTGAAGTGAGTCTTGTAGAATAAATGTGATTTTATCCAAGAGAAAGTAAAAGGAATAAAGTGGAAAATATGAGTATGAACAATGGGAGAGAAGGAAAACATAAAAACACTCGGTCTTGAAAACAATTATTGCCAAATGAAAGTGTTGCAAATTGTCGACTATCAGCGTTTTAAGAAGCACTGATTTTTGACTCTTGATATAGGCTTATATTTTTTATCAGCGTCTGGAGGCCAAGTGGCGCTCTCACTTTTGCCAGTGATGATCAAGTGTTCAGGCGAAGTCTGCAAGAAATAAATATTTTTTTTTATCATTCCAAGATGATTAAACTGCTTTTTATGAATAATATTC